ATCGTACATTACAAAACACAAAATGTATTTCTAATTCATATTCACTGTCTGTTCAGATGTATTGGTATTTTATGTGCATTTTATATTTTCAATACATCTAAACAGACATAGTGGATATGAATTAGAAATACATTTTATGTTTTGTAATGTGTGTACATAATAATGCCCATAAAATATCATTCCAATATTCACTCACACGTCTCTGTATTATAACGTGTGTCTGTATGTACGTATATATGTATGTATGTATGTGTGTAGAGATGTATATATACTTATATTTATTATTTATATATACGAGGGTTGTCTGAAAAGTTTTGAGCCTAACATAGAAACAAGTAATTTTTCGGTCAAATTCAATTTTATTTTTCCACATAGTCTCCTTTTAAGTCGATACATTTTTTCCAGCGATGCTCCCACCCCTTTAATCCATTCAAATAATACTGAGCGTCTTGCTTTGCAAAATAGGTGTCTACGGATGCGATGACCTCCTCGTTCGATGAAAATTTCTGTCCTCCGAGCTAAACTTTGAGCCTAGGAAACAGAAAAGTCGCTGGGGGCCAGATCTGGTGAATACGGTGGATGGTCAATTAATTCGAACCGCAATTTGTGAATTTTTGCCATAGCGACCGCCGAAGTGTGAGACGGTGCATTATCTTGATGGAACAGCACTTTCTTCTTTTTCAAATGCGGTCGTTTTTTCTCAATTTCTGCCTCAGCTTGTCAAGCAATGATGCGTAGTACGTCCCTGTTATTGTTTTACCTTTTTCAAGATAGTCGATCAATACAATTCCATGACTGTCCCAAAAAACAGTGGCCATCACCTTTCCTGCCTATAAAACCGTCTTCGCTTTCTTCGAAGCAGGTTCACCCTTCGCAGTTCACTGTTCTTTCGTTTCAGGAGTGAAGTGGTGGATCCAAGTTTCATCAACCGTTATTAATCGACGCAAAAAATCCGACTCGTTTCGCTTAAACCGCTCCAACAGAGCCTTAGAAATGTTCATACGAATGCGTTTTTGATCCAGAGTGAGCAAGCGCGGCACCAAACACGCGGTTAACTTACGAATGCCCAATTCTTCAGTCAATATATGGCAAACACGTTCTTTTGATATGCCAACAGCCTCTGCTATCTCCCTAATCTTAATTCGACGGTTGTCCATTATCATTTGATGAATTTCTTCGATGTTATCGGTGGTGGTCGCAGTTGTTAGCCGTCCCGAACGCTCATCATCAGCTAAGCTGGTACGACTACGTTTAAATTCAGCTACTCATCTTTTCACGGTGGCAAATGATGGAGCAGTCCCCGTAAACAGCGTCCAACTCGGCTTTAATTTGCGTAGACGTATTGCCTTTCAAATGCAAGAATTTAATTATAGCACGATATTCAATTTTTTCCATTTTTACAAAATGACGACACAAATGATTGCGAAACAAAAACTGAACGTCCAAAGTGGCCACAATTGTCACAGATATCTTTCATAAGTATCACGATTATAATACTAGAATGGCTTTGACGAGTAACGCCAGCTTCATGATGAGGCTCAAAACTTTTCAGACAACCCTCGTATATAGAAGTATATACATACATAAATACAAACATACATACATACACACAAACACACATTATAATACATTATAATACTCATAAAATTTTAATATTTCGTGGAAATATATCCGTGTGAATATCAGCATGAGAAATTTGTATCTCTATTTGTTACGTGCAAAGACATAGAGAATGGACTGCGCGATCTGTATCTAAGTAATGTATCAAATGTGGTCGACAATAATGAGAGAGAGGGACCGTGGGAGACGGCCAATCTCCCTCTCATTCTCTCTCCCATTACACCATTGAATGGAAAGAGATAAAAATGGCCGTCTGCCACGGTCCCTCTCTCTCATTCCTCGACCATTTTGACACACGGATCGCGCAGTCCATTCTCTATGCTTTGGTTACGTGTAATAAAAAGAGATGGAGTAGCTGCACACGTAGCCAGACGTAGAGTCCTAGATTTATCAGAGAGGCGCAACCGGCTTAAGTCAGTATGACAAAGGTACTAAGGAGAGTACTAAACATGGCCGACATGCTATGAAACTGCCTTTAAACTATGTCAAACAAAATAAGACATGTAGGATAATGTGAGATAGAATGTATAGGATAAAATGAAATAGAAATATGTCACTAGTACTATAAATGGCTGCCAACTCACGCAATTGGTCAGATTGCAACAGCGAATCAGAATGCATAACACCGGTTGCGCCTCTCTGATAAATCTAGGGCCGTGGTCCGAATCATGCTGACAACGCTCATGAGCATTGTTTGTCTTCGTTTAACATTTGACAAACAACAAGGATGAAATGATTTTTAAGCGTTGTGAGCGTGTATCGGACCGCGGCCTAGGACTCTAGAGCACACTAGTGCAGAGAAAAAAAACAAACCTAATTAAAGCTGGAAACACAATAGACACAGGCAATAGGCACAGGCAACAGGGAATAACGAGCCGTCCAATCAGAGCTTTGGGGGTATAAGTTCGATAATATGTTACGACTATTACAGATTCCGACAATATATATCAGTAGACCTCTTTAGCAAAAAGAGGTGAAGTAGTTACACATATATATGCAATATATGTATTCATATGATACATTTTGACACATTATGTAACCTAAAATGGCATTGGACCATAACGAAAACTACGACTGTGTATACTGTTAGTAAAATCTGTATTTTCCGTCACATATATTATAGATCTTTAGTACTGACAGTGTGACTTAGAACGCAATTATATTTCAGGCGTCGTCTACAATACACGGAGTAAGAAGTAAGAGTAAGAAATTGACCAATCACAGTCACTTAAAATAAAGAACTCTTTATATTTGTACATATTGACTAAAAATTCTTACGATTTGCACGTAGGACTAAAAACCTATGCTAATTGCTAATTGCCAATTGCCATAGGCCTTAAAAGTCGAAATTAAAATCAATATCATCATTATCATCCATCAGGTTATTAGATATACTGCGCACAATGGAGGAAGTATTAGGAACAGGAATAGATATTAAAATTTCAACGTATCAGAAACCGTATATTCCGGTGTAACTGGTATCTGATAGGTTAAAATATTAATATCTATTCCTGTTTCTAATATTTCCTCCATTGTGCGCAGGGCTGTACTTCTTACTCCGTGTATTGTAGACGACGCCTAAATGCTCACACATGTGAGCAAATCGAGCGACTGGAAACGGCGCACACAGTTGCCAACTCTAGCCGGCTCCTACCCACTGAACTATACTACTGGAAAGCGCTCTGAGGCCATTCGCCTGAACCGACAGAGAGAGTAAATGTGAGCCCCTTTGTCCTTGTCGGTACAGTCTGAGTCAAGAGTGCTATCCATGCGTCTGCGCATGTGCAGTTCCAAATCTGGAGACACTGGTAGTGAGATATCTTCATACGCACTGTGAATAGATTTACATGCTTTAACACAACATTTGTGGACCATTTTTCTATTTATTTCGTAAAAAATGCAAATACATTTCATTAACCAAACCATTGAACTAACCGATTCACTTCTGACGCTTTGGATCAACAATACTTTTGATTCAGAATGTACATCGGTCGAATGCGCATGCGCGATGAAGGACAGAAGGGCTCACATTAGCTCTCTCTGTTTCTTACGCCGTTTCAGAGGGCAGAGCGCTTTCCAGTAGTATAGTTCAGTGCTCCTACCAGAAACTTCAATAGATAATTTACCAGAAATCGACTAAATGTAGAAAATAAGATCTTTTTTTGGCAATTATTTAGAATTTTAATTTTACAAGCAAAAATTTATAAACAAATGTTTGAAGGGCTTGTTAATACACCAGTGAAAAAATTTAGAAAATGTTTTTATTTAATAAATATTTGTTTCATATATTTGTACATCATACAAAATAATACAGTTATAATTAGAATTAGATCACACGCATGACGCAATCACAAATAAAATTGTAAAATAACTTAAAATAAAGAACTCTTTATATTTGTACATATTGACTAAAAATTCTTACGATTTGCACGTAGGACTAAAAACCTATGCTAATTGCTAATTGCCAATTGCCATAGGCCTTAAAAGTCGAAATTAAAATCAATATCATCATTATCATCCATCAGGTTATTAGATATATAGCAGTCTTTTGTTTTAATTTTTTTTTTATGACATCCTTCGGTCAAACATGCCATCACAGAGTGAGGGTGCAGTCCCGTGGAGCGTATCGCGGATTAGTGGATCGCCAATCACAGAATGTTTCGATCCGCTAATCCGCGATATGCTCCAGAGGACTGCACCCTAAATGTGAATAAACATGCGCGAGGACGTCCAAAGGTCTGTTCTGTATCCCTGTATTCTCTGAAATGGTGCATACGGTGTAGTAAGTTAAAGTAAAGAGTGTAAGAATAAAGAACAGATTTCAAATTTTCCGGAAACATGAAGTAGGAGTAATCAATCACAAGATTTTCGGCTTAAACAAAATTCTACTAGAAAATCTACTATTGTGCTGATCATTCTACTAGAAATTCTAGCTATCAAAATTAATTTTTGCCTACTAGATGGCTATGCCATTCTATCAGATCTGGTAGGAAATCTACCGAGTTGGCAACACTGGGCGCACGGCTGGAAACAGCTGGAAACGTGAGTGCTTACAGCACTCACAGCGCATGAAAGTAATGAGAGCCTGAGCCTCTAGAGGGCGTAAGCGGACGGTACAAAATAGAGACCCTTTACTAGAGACTGATCATTTCGGGACTTTTGCTGATTGGTGCATGTGACTTCAGCACACTAATGGCGGCGCCAATAAGGAACGCTGTTCAGCCGAGCGCGAAAAGCAACTGATTTCTGCCTAAAAAGTATAAGCAAAAGTAATAATGTTTTTTTATAGACTTTGACATCTTGAATATATTAATGTTATTAAAAAATTCGAGGCGGATAGAGAATACCTTGAAAATTAACCAAAGATTCGTTGTTATCACAGGGTACTTTCCAATAAGGACACAATCAGACACTGTGTAACACAAGGAATCGTTTCATTCTTGTTTAACGTAGGCAAATAACAAGGATGTAATGATTCACTGTGTTATACTGTGTCTGACTATGTCCTTGCTGGAAACCACGATAACTTCATAACCTTAAAAGAATTAAATTATTTTGTTAACACTAAAAATGTGTGAACTAATTTGCTACGTTTGTGTCAAGATGTGTTAAGCAATTGGAAAATATTCTATATAAATAACAATCTATTTTAATACCTAAATTCAGTCAATATGTATACTTACAAGCTATTTCTCCTACCTACATGTAATACACTTCTTCTGATATAACGATCAACAAACGAAATCGACAACTGATCGAATCGATTTATCGATTTATCGCCGCCATTTGTGTGCCGAATGATCAGTCTCTAGTAAAGGGTCTCTAGTACAAAATCAATTTTATCGACCTTGATTAACTTCGACCGTTACTCCAGCATCCCTTTCAGGCGATGCTAAAGCCCCCCTGTTTTACCACATTCCTATTCGATGGGATTTCTCCGTATTGGATGTACGGATTGCAAAAGTATTATTACTTAAATTATAGTACGCACACAGAGGATGTTTGCTACACTGGATTTTATGAGAAAATCGAAAAAAAATTATAAAATTTACTTATTTTTGGCTCGCACAGCTGTCACCTCGGATATATATTTGCTTGATATAAGAGTTTTAGAGTCCATATCTTGAAAATAAGCGGGCAGCAAACCTCACATTATTGAAACGAACGATACCGAATTTGTAGAACTAAGATTGAAAGTCTAGAAAAGATATATTCCCACCGAATAAGAAATACGTGTATACAGATGCTTTGCGGAGACTGGGACTGTCAACAGAGCCGAAATTCCGTGTAGTAGTAGTTGCGCGGTCTT